TTTATGTTCTTGTTCCAAGGTGGATTCATGGTACAAAATACATGTTTAATGGCTTTAAATAAGAAGGTTATTTAGCTTTAATCCACAGAGAGACTAAACTGTGTGTGCTGCTGACGGCTCTACAGTCAGAGTGATGATAAGCCTAAAACAGATACATGTGAGGAAAGGTTTTAGTTATAATATCCCCTCGCCCTTTAACAAAATTAAAACTGAATAAAATCTTACCTCTGGTGTTTGCCATAAATAATAAGTAATAAAGACTAACACGGAAACTAAATAAACAAAAAAGAAACATGTTCAAACAAAACAAAGGCACAAACCCGCCCTCCAAACTAACTCGCACTAAGCTAAATGACAAACTAAGACTAGTAATAGCTCTGGTAGTTATAATTCTCCACAACTGGTAGTTTCTTTTTCCAGCATGAAAGGATTTATCTGACAGCTCTCACTGGACAGGCATGTCCTCATGAGGAAGTCCAGGAACTCTCTGAAGAAGGAGAGGTTTGCATTAGCACGTTGGCGGTCTCTTTCCACCATTTCTAACAGCTACAGTTCGAATAATCATCAGTTCAGACAACTGTATGTAAGCACAAGTTATTTCGATTTGTCACCACAGATCTGCTAGAAAACCCAAACTGTGACACTCAGATGATCTAATGATCAGGGACAATCTAGCACCAAAGCGCAGGCATTCCAGTGTCCCAGTCCACAGTGACGGGAGGGCTCACCGTGGACTGGGTGGGTGCTCACCGTGGACTGGGAGGGCTCACCGTGGACTGGGAGGGCTCACTGGGAGGGCTCACCGTGGACTGGGAGGGCTCACCGGGAGGGCTCACCGTGGACTGGGAGGGCTCACCGGGAGGGCTCACCGTGGACTGGGAGGGCGCTCACCAAGAACGAACCCCCTGCTCCAAAACCGACACCTGTAATCTTGACTGAACTTTGCAGCTGCACATGTTTTATGGCCAAACAAGACAAAGAGTTATCTGGCCACAGTGACAAAAGCTGGTGAGGTTCAAACCCCAGATCAGCTAAATGAACTCAATTTGGCCACGGAGAGACAGAACTATGGCAGATGCTTTTGGTCAAAGGTACGGGACATTTAACCAAATATGCATCTATACCTGTGAGCCTGTGTGGATGAGAAAGAATCCAAAATAAAGTAATTAAAGATTTATGTTGAGAATTTTCCCCCTTTGGAGAAAGAAAAAAGCCCAAAATGACCATAACATGGTAAAAATGGTAAATGGCCTGTATTTATATAGCGCTTTACTAGTTCCTAAGGACCCCAAAGCGCTTTACATATCCAGTCATCCACCCATTCA